GGATTCTACAAATCTGGCTGCATTTTATCCATGTCAATTGATTTTATCAATTTTGTGGGAGGCTGAACTTGAAGGTGACAGACTACTTTATTTGGCAAAGAAAATTTTAAGGTAGAAGAACAACTAGCAGCAGATCCTGGTGTTGTCTGTGATGCTAGTTTTGCAATCATGCAGAATCCAAGAGTTGTAGAGTTATGAGGTTTCCACTGAAGTTTTAAAGGAAAGCCTGCAAGGTCAAGCAGTGCGTCGCAGGGTTGAAGTTCCTGCAAGCAGACCCTGATGAGGATGCAAGGAACTGTGGCGGTGAAGCTAAAGTTGCAGTGTAGATCCCAGGAAGACATAGGTGTTGGCAACACAGGACATCTGCCAGGGGAAGCTACATGCAACAAGAAGAGACAGCCCTAGGAAATGGTCTTGTGGGCTGTGTCTGCAAAGTTACAATGCTATTTTAAGTCCTTGGGAACACATCCCACCAATGTGTCTTAGATGTTGTACAAAGAACATTAGGATTTAATGTTTGCCCTGCTGTCAGTCTTACTTTAGTGTGATCCTTCCTTTCTAGTCCTCTCTTACTCTCTTTTGTAAAGAGAATGTATACATTGTGCCTGTCCCAACATCGTACATTAAAAGTGTATAATTTGTTTTTTATTTCTGTAGGAACCCACAACTGAGTTTGCCTTAAGACTTGGGTGAGATTTTAGCCTAGAACTTTTGAAAAATGCTGAAAGTTAAAACTCCAAACCTTTGGATGATGGGGAGAATGCTACAGTTTGAATCTTAAAAGTCTTCAAAAGTACCATGTGACAAAGGTTTGGTCCCTAGAGTGGAGCTACTGGGATTTCTTTATATCACTGATGGCATGTTCTCCAAGGGAACAGCAGTACCTCACCCTTTCCTCTTCCTGTCTTGATTCCTGGACATAGTCTGAGTAGGTTTTCTTGGCCATGGGTTCTATGCCATTGCCATCTGATACTCCAGAGGCCTTAAAAGCAATGGGTTCACTTGATCATGTACTGAAACCTTTAAAATCACGAGACAAAATTAACCTTCTCTCTAAGTTATTCATCTTAGCTATTTGTTATATTAACAGAAATCTAACATAGTAACCTTATTGCAAAATTCAACTATTCATTCATTTTTCAGATATTTACTATGTTACTACTATATGCTGGGCATTGTGATAAGTACTAGAAATAAAAATAATTTGCCAGACAAAGAGATTATAGCTTTCTGGTTAAACAGGGAAAGAAGATACTATAATGTTTATGATGTCTGCTATGATCAGGGGAACAAGTATACTGTGGGTTGGAAAAGTAGGTCTACAAAAGTCAACAATGATGCCATGGTATTCTCATTACAAATCCTTATATCAAAGCAAGATAATTATATGAGACTACCAAATGTGTAATATCAGACTATGAAAATTGGTTCTACAACTATTTCCAGCAAAAAACCCATCAACTTCAGTGTATAATAGAATACAATCAGAGGGGAATTTAAAACAAAGAACTCACAAACTAGACACTGTGATTCCACTCCCCACCAAAAACAAAACAAAACAAAAAAAGGAATAGGAAAGAGAAAAAAATTAACATATGACTTTGTAGCTTAGTGCCATAGGGGGAAAAAAAAAACTGCTTAAAGAAAATTAAATCAGGTGCCTTCAATTGTTTTAGGTGATAGAGGCTAGATTACTTCAATGATCATTGAAGTCCCCATGTTAACAGATCCCAAAACCCTACAACCAGAACTGACCATTTTTTAAGTTTCAGAAGTTGATAAGACCAGACAACATTTGGTATGACACAAAATGTCCACAGCATAGCACTCAAATGTTATACCATGATGAATTTTGTTTAAAATGAGAAGGATTTACTCACATGTTAATATAAACGACATTTAATGCCATTTAAATCAAACATCATTTTCTTTCTGGCTAAGCTTGATGATATTAGTCAATTATGCAAAAGCCAAGGATAGTAAAGCTTTTCTTTGGTTTAAATTTCTATTTTTCTTGGTATCATCATCACAAATGTACAACAGCATTCAGCTTAAATTAAATTCTATAATAGAGCATCCAGGTTATAATATACATAATCAATAAAGTGAATAGTAATAAAAATTATTGCAAGTCTAAGTCACTGTATAGAACTCATACCTTAGAATGTTTTTATTCTATTATCTGAAACTCTAAGAATATTCCATTACAAAAAGAAATTAATTTTAAATTATGCTCCTTGAAATTATTACTGTTTAATAACAGTAATCCTAAAAATACTTCCACAGGATATAAATTTATCATCATTTCCTCTAAGATATATATAAATTTTCTTAAAAACTCTGTCATTTAAAAAATCTATTTCCATGTTTACATATTCCGAGGCTTTTTTTTGTTTGATGATAGTGGTAGGGATCAAACCCAAGGCCTCAGACATGCTAAGTGAAGGCTCAACCGGAAGACAATTTTTGAAATAACAGGGTTTTTCAAGATCTTTGCTCCAACTATAAGTAAGTAAATACAGAGAAATTAGTAACAACTTTCTCAAGGAAACACAGCTTTTAATTCAACACTCTTTCCCAGGTTATTATCTTTTAGAACTAAAGAAACTTATTGAAAGATGATTAAAATAATCTAATTGGTTGATAATACTGTTATTATACACTGATTTATTGGCTTTATCAGATAAACTTATTTATTTAGTATAATACATGAACTGTGTAGTTTTGGATATACTTATCAATAAAGTTTAAGGCTAAAAGCAGCTTCTGATCATAAAACTAATAACTTATTAAATTCTTAAAAATCTCCTTTTCTATGCAGCTTTTCATATTAAGTTAAAGGAGAAAGATTTTACATGGTTTAATGGTGTGTAAATATAAATTTTAGTTTCCATTTAACCTGTCTGCATATATTCCTTCCATAACTATCAATAAAACTTACATGAAACTCAAGTTTTTAATTTTGTCAAATTAATATAAAATGTTAATGATTTGTGAATTAACTTCCAGATTATCAGGAAAAAAAAAAAAAACCCAGCAGATGTCATACTCACTTACGTAAATGCCAACAGATTTTTTTTAAGAGACTTTTTTTGACACAATACAATCAGTAGTTCTCGTTTCTTTTTTTTTTTTAATGAAAAAAACATTTTGATAATGACACAGAAAACTAATAATTTATTTTTCATTTCCCACTGAAAGCTAATACTCGGGTAATCAATAGTTCCATTATCATTTCTAATGTTACTAAACAGATGTGCAACAATGAGAAACAGCTGACGGAAGAATTGGCAGAAAATGAAAGGGTTTGGGGATAATTTGGAGAACACAAATGTGTCTGGATAATTTCTTATGTCACTATCCAAAATTACTTTCAATGTCTTATCTCAGACTCTTAAATATAACTTTAATATAGTTTTTCAATATTTTAGAAATAACAGTGCAGTATGAAAAATGCTCAAAATGTTGCCTGGTACATCAGTAAAATCTAGCTTTTATTTTTATTTTTTAAAAAAAAACATTTTTTTATAGAAAAATCTTACTACTGAACACTAACCTTTCTGTGGGAAACAATGATATGGTACCACAGACAAGTCAAATATTGTGCTAACTCAGCTCATCCAGCATGAATTGCATAAACTTTTGCACACTCATTACTTGCTCCTCCCCACAAATGCTTGTCATCACCTTATCGATGTTCTGCTAACATTTTTCCCTATAATAAAAAGATTGTTAGCTATGGTGTTGCAAGCCTGTAATGCCAGTGGCTTAGGAGGATGGCAGGTTTAAAGCCAGCCTCAGCAACTTAGTGAAGCAGTAAGCAATCTAGTGAGCCCCTATCTCCCCCGCCCCCCCCAAAAAAGGGGAATGGATTAAAAAAAAAAAAAAAGGTGGCATTTATACACAATAGAGTATTACTCTGCACTAAAAAATGACAAAATCATGGAATTTGCCAGGAAATGGATGGCATTAGAGCAGATTATGCTAAGTGAAGCTAGCCAATCCTTAAAAAACAAATGCCAAACGATATAAGGAGAACAACTAAGAACAGAGCAGGGAGGAAGAGCATAAGAAGATTAACATTAAACAGGGAGGAGAGGTGAGAGGGAAAGGGAGAGAGAAAGGAAATTGCATGGAAATGGAAGGAGACCCTCACTGTTATACAAAATTACATATAAGAGGAAGTGAGGAAAAGGAAAAAAAAAACAAGGGGGAGAAATGAATTACAGTAGATGGGGTAGAGAGAGAAGATGGGAGGGGAGGGAAGGGGAGGGGGATAGTAGAGGATAGGAAAGGCAACAGAATACAACAGACATTAGTATGGCAATATGTAAAACAGTGGATGTGTAACCGATGTATACGGCGTAAAAATGGGAGTTCATAACCCACTTGAATCAAATGTATGAAATATGATATGTCAAGAGCTTTGTAATGTTTTGAACAACCAATAATAAAAATTTAAAAAAAAAATTGTTCCTGGGAGTATAAAACTTAAAAAAAAAGAAAAAAGGAATGGGATATGGCTCAGTGGTAAAGTACCCTTGGGTTTAATCCATATCAATTCCTTTCCAAAAATAAAGACTTTCCCATTTAAGGATTTGAGCAATATCCATGTTTGCTTGTTAAATTTAATGAGTTAATATATTTTTATTTTGTGGTTAAATAAAAATCTCTACCAAATAATAACTCACTGTCTTTCTACTAAGATAAACACTTCAAACCCATGGATGGTGGCGCATTCCTGTAATCCCAGAGACTCGGGAGGCTGAAGCATGAGGATTGCCAAATGCAAGGTCAGACTGGGCAACTTACTGATATTCTGTCTTAAAATAAAAAGAGCTGGGATGTAGCTCAGTGGTAGCATTCCCATCAGTTAAATTCCCAGTACCAAAACAATAACAACAACAATAATAAACAACAGATAAATATTATGATAATCTAAAATTAAACTGAAGATAGGAAATAAGGCCCAAATCTAAGATTTGGAAATTATTACTTACTGCAGGTACCAGTAGTTTCTTCACTTCTTCAACTGCTCTCTTCAGTTTTATTTCTGCTCTGTTCTGAGCATCTTCCACAGTGATTAGTACATGTAAATCTTCATTTAGATGCTCCCAATTGGGTTTGCCTCTATTTTGCTCCTCCTAAAAAATTTACAAAGTACACTCTTAGAATTTTTTTTCTTTAAAGAGAGTATATCCTTCATATTGTGAATCTGTTGCCAACAATTTAAGCCATGTTTGCATTATTTTGCTAAAATAACATTAGAAATCTTCTGAATTATTTTCCTGGCCAAAACGAAGAAACTTACATATGGCATCATCCATAGATTACCATGAAGAACACTCTGAGAAGCATGTTATTTCTATAAATTACTTATGAGTAAACAGAAAGTCATCAAGATTAAGCACGTCACTTACAAAGAACACACGGGAAATAAACAGTCAGTACAAAAATGAATCAAAGAATTCTCAAACTCAGTAAAATTTCCACTTTATTACAATTGTTTAATAACATTAGTTGTACTCAACAGCAGAAAAAAAATATTTTGCAAACAAGACATTATAGTGTAAAAGAAGTACTACACTTAAGTATTTGAAGTAATAATTATGGAAACATTTTATTATAATCCACAAGTAAGAAATAATAATAGTTATAACTATATTTCCATTAGACTTTTAAAAAATCAACTATAAGGCCTCTCTTTATCATTATATCAAGTAATGAATACAGTTTTTCAGACACTATGTGTGTCCAATTTCCTTAATGACATCTAGTCTCCTTGTGAGGAGGACCCTCACACTGATACCTTGACACCACAGGGAGAACTAGGAAGAGCACACTACAAAAACCTATTATCTAAATTGGGTCATTTCAGAATTGCAGAGCTAACTCTTGCTTTAAGTTTTAGAGATAATGGAAATACAATTTATAAATTTTAAAACATAAAAAACAAAGAATATAAATTTATAAATAGGTAACATACAAATGTTATACAGAAATGGATGTGGCTCAGACCAAAGTACCACAAACAAATAATAAATATTAACCTTTGTTGTTATTAGACCTTTATCTTGAATCTACTCAATTTATTTATTTTACTAAATGTGAGACTCCAATCCAAGAAAGTAAAACTGGTATAATGAAACAACTTTTGTACAACTCACATGAATAAGTTTACCCAATGAGGACAGAAATGTCTGAACAGTTAAGTGTGTATTTCTACTTTATTTTCAGCTAATATCTTCAGTGGGAAAATGCATCTACATGTTGTAATAGATAAGAACATTCATGTTTCCCCAAGTATGGGAGGCAGAAGAGTGGGCTCGCAAGATCCAGGATACGTGAAATTTCAGATAATTGGAGCTATAATCACATCTATTGACACTTATGCACTACTAGCTCAGGTATGTCTGTTTCAACATTAGATCACACCCCATTCCATTTGGTAATGATACACATGCACAAAGCTAGGTCTATTTGTTGCTATTACAAAAAGCAAGTCTGAAAAACTCAGCAGAGAATAAGAAGGTGGTGGTGTCCAATCTGACTCTGAGGTTTAGAACTTGAATGATACTATTAATAAATAATGTGATTATTTAAAAATAAATAATGTGGTAATTTAGAAAATCATTTTTTTCCTTCAATTTAAGATGTTCTGAAGCCAGGCACAGTGGCACATGCCTATAATTCAAGCTACTCAGGAGGCTGAGACAGGACAATTACAAATTCAAGGCCAATCAGAACAATTAGCAAGACCCCGTCTTGAAATATATATATATTTTTAAACAAAGTTTGGGGATGTAACTCAGTGGTAGAGTACTTGCCAAGCACACACGAAGCTCTGAGTTCAATTTTTAGCACTGAAAAAAAAAGTTTTGATACAGATATTATAGTTCTATTTATTATTTACTTAGAAAGTAAATAATAGAACTATAAGAGATTCATTTTCCCCTAAGGAGCACTATGAAAAAACTAAATGAGAAACCAGTCAATCAAGAACTGGGAACTATGGGGTCATCTGCATGGCAAAGAATATAAAATGTGCATAAATATTTTCACTGTTGCTCAATTTTTAAACACAAATGTTAATTTTAATGTTGAAGATTGCTAATAATATTTTCCCACCAAAATTTGTGTTTTTACATGGACTAGTTACTGGCATTATTTGGTATAAACTGAGTGTGCGCCTTTTTGTCTAAATCCATCATCATAAGGGATTTTTGCTTCCAGCCAAGGAAAAATAAGAACCAAATGTATAGTCCCACTAGAAGCAAGTAAAACAAATGAATAACAGTTTTAAGCCAATAGACAACAGACAGATAAGATCAGTGACAATGAAAAGACCTGGGGCGGGGACACAAGTGAGCCCTCCCTGACGGACTTCTCCCTGAGTGGAAAGACTAGCATAGCTGGGGTCACACAACCAAGTCCTGTACAACCACACTGGGGAGCAGCCAAAGGCCCAGAGCACTCCACCCAAAAACACCAGTGCAGCCTGGCAGGAAACTTCAGAGGCTTATAAAACAAATTGCTTCCAGGACTCAAGGTAACAAAGGGCCTAGTTTTCATATGGAGTCAGACTGAAAAGACTTCCTGGGATTCAGAAACTGAACACTAAAAGCAACAATTAAATCTAGTCTGCCCACTGTTCCAGTGCTGCCCAAATAAATTTTAAAGCCAAAACCTAAAGGGACCAAACTTTCCAAATAACTTAACTGTGTCCCAGAACAAAGCTGAAGGGTATTTATAGAAATATAAAAATATCCACCCAAGAAGGTAAAATTCACACATACTATCTGATAACTAATCAGAAATTAACAGGCATGAAAAGACACAGGCAAATGCCAGAGATTAAAAAAAAAAAAATCAAATCAAACCACAACTGATATTTTATATAAATATCATAATATGTATTAATTAGTATTTAAAGACATTAAAGGCTATTCTGTGTTAGGTGAGATTAAGTATGTGTTTAAGAGTAGCGCACATAAATACTACACAAGGATAACTAAAGAACATTAATAATTTAGAGTAAGTCAGAAAAGCTTTAGCATAAAAGCTGAAATTGTGACTTGCCATGAAACATTTATACAATGGTGAAGAAAAAAACCAAAGAACTTAAAAAGGAGATATTACCTGCATTATAGAAACACAGAACAAAGCTGCATTATAATTTGCCATTGCACTTTACAGAAGGAATAAATTTGAGTTGCTAAGTACCTTGGCAAAAGTGTGCACTCTTAATTCAAGAATTTAAAAGCCAACTTAAGAAAATCAGAATTTAAAATGTAGAAACCCATCAAGAAAGAAGAAAATGAGAATGAAAACAATTTTTTTACGAAATCTTTTTAAAACGTCAAGAGTTATTGTTCAATATAACAATGTGACAGCAAAGACAAATTAGATAACATTACTATATGTGTATGTATAGATGAGGTTTGATAGTTGAGGTCAGAATAATGAGAAGACTCAAGGAAATGGAAAACAGCTTTATATAGTAAATTAAAGTTTAGTATCATATTAAACAATTTTATAATACCATTTGCACCCAATAAAAGAACAAAGACATAATTACTAATGGTAATTTATTGTGTACATTCTTTATTTTTATTTTTTTAAAAGAGAGAGAGAGAGAGAGAGAGAGAGAGAGAGAGAGAGAGAGAGAGAGAGAGAGAGAATTTTTTAATATTTATTTTTTAGTTCTCAGCAGACACATCTTTGTTTTTATGTGGTGCTGAGGATCGAACCCAGGCTGCACGCATGCCAGGCGAGCGAGATACCACTTGAGCCACATCCCTAGGCCTATTGTGTACATTCTTAATGAACAAAGCATAAATGAATTTCAAGTAACTCTTAGCCTCTCAGGTAATTATAAATTTAATAAGAACAATGATGGTGATCATGATAACGGCAACTAAGCTTTTATTGAACACTTACTACTTATCAAGTACAATGCTAAGCAATAAAATATGCCATGTCATTATATCCTCCTAACTAAACTATATGACTGTGGGACTACCATTTTATTGTTAGACAGATGTGGCTTGCCCAAGCTACACCAAAGTGCTTCTCCACCCAGATCACACAACAGAGACTGCCATTTTGGCCACTAACTCCTAGCATACATCACCACCTACATCAGCTTCCTAGTTAAGTAAACTGCCCCAAGATAAGCAAAATAAATTAGTGAAAGACCAGAAACAAAGTTCTTGAATCTTTAGAATTCTTTTTTCAGCAGGGGTGTGTGGGGGGGGATGGAGCATCTTACTCTGTTGTCCAGGCTTATCTGAAGCCATCCACCCAACCTTAGCCTCCCCCTCCCTGCCGCCCCCCTCCCACAGGAGTATGCCACCATGTCCAGTTTAGTTTTTTTTTTTTAAACCTTATTAACATTTTTGTGTGCAATTCTAAGCATGTCTTACCCTCACAGAATTTATGATTCAGTAGGGACTTTGCAGACAAAGAAATACATAAAAGAGATTTTTTTTTCTTTTTACCCATATTGGTCCTATCTCCTAATTCCAAGCCACTCCTTTCCCCATAAATAAATTCTTGAGTAAGTCATGAAGAATATCAAGAACTGGGAGAAATGTACTTGGTAAAACAACTCTTGCACCTACAAAATTTTGTTTTTCCTGAATGAGAGATCTATCTAATTTGAATGACAGAAATATTAAAAAAGGATAAATCTGTAGCCATTTAACTTAAACACATAGAATCCCCCCAATCTTTAGGAAAGGTTATTAAAACTAAAATGTGGCCTTAAACACAATGCATATTTTAAACATTATTACTAAAACATTAATATTGCCCATAAGTAAATAATATCATGTTTTAATAAAATAAAATCCACTTCATTTTAAAGCTGTTGTACACAGTGACACATAAAAATAAAAAGCAATAAATTCTTATCATTTGAGAAACTACTGTTTGTGATTTTGATAAAAAAGAAATCTGATGAGTCACTGCCTGATGAAGTTTAAAATTATTCTCTAATTACAGTATCTGTTTGAACAACAAAGTAATTCTATAACATGAAGCATCAGAGCACACTGATTGTCCTAACCCCTGCTGACACACTTTTAATTATACATTTGTAGGCAGGCAAATAAGCAAAAGACTTCTCCCCTACTGTGCTCTT